GGACATTGTTAGCTTCACCCACCACTCTTTGAAATGGTCTCCCCATCTTATTTATTTATTAAATCATTTTTTATCTTTTATTGCCCTTCTGGTGTTTTTTCGAATACTAAAACTTTTAAATGCGAATTTAGTACCTAGCATTTTCATGAAATCCTAGTTTCACCCTTAGCATTTCAATTGTTTCATTTCAATCCTCACACATATATGAAATGAAAGAAAAAACAATGTCATTCTATGAAATTAAAAAATACCAAAAATAAGTAATTTGGGAGAATATATATTTGCCTGCTTAAAAAAATATTATTGCAATAAAAAAATCAATCGGTAATATGAAAATAAAAAATAAATAAATCAACCAATAAAGTTGAAAAAGTCGAACTAAAATCCATTTTCTAGTTAAATTAAGCGAATTGACACTTGCATTCTCTTAATTGAAGTTCCAATCATTCTTAATTAAGTTCTTCCTTTAATAGAAACTGTTAAGCAATGTGTTAAATATGTCACCTGTTACAACAATTTTTCATGCCATCCCTCATTATTTACTTAAACAAATAAAAACATTTCACCCACTAATTAATGCATGATCTCTTTTTTTAAAACAAAATAAAAATTAAAAGTAAAAAGGTAAGATAAGATTGAGATGTAACAACAATAACATAAATGAGGTGAGATAAATTATGGGTGATATTTATGATAGAAGTGCATTAGGATTGACAACGGAACAGGGCAGTTTAATAGTGCAAAAGCCAGAGTAACAGAGAGCTTACAAATCAGTATTTATTAGTTGAATACTGATGCAAAGCGTAAGACTGCATCATCCATTCCAGCTCCAGATTTTTTCAGCTTTGGGATTTCATATTAGTGCAACAACAATGTTACAACAACAATTATACAACAACCGGACCGGACATGCTTCAGACAGAGAAACCAATGCTGCTTCTCTCAAGGTGGCAGCATTGCTTTACTTTTTTTTTCATTCAAGTGAATCATAAAATTTGTGAAATAGCAGCAGACGCCTCATAGTTCATCCTGCAGGGGTCACAAAGAAGAATCGAGTTAGGAGTCCGGTCGAAATGCCTTTTAGTTAGGGTCGACAACTCTTTTTGGTGCTAGTTCATGCACAAGAAGACATCATTGAACAAAAGGCAGAACTATGGTTTCATCCCAAGAGCCAAGAGGGGCCAAAGTTCTACAAGCTATTGGAGTTTCAGGACTGGTCAGTATTAAGAAACTGTTTCAAAAGAAACAAAGTAAAAGAGGATCAATAATTCATCCTGGCCAAACATAGATCTCAAAATAATATCAGAAACCAGATGTGGTATTATCTTCCATCTTTTCCCCTTGTGCCTAATAATAATAAGGTCCCATTCTTGAGAAAAGTCTGACGCCATTACGAATGGAAATCAGATTTTGTATTTGCATAGTTCAAAAAACTTAATAAAAGAAATGAAAAATCTATGATCGCCAAAAACTTAAATGTAACATATTTCTCAATATTTCCTATAATTTGGAAACAAATAGATCAACTAAGCAACGACAAATCATAAAAGGAGAAGTACTTTCTTAAGATGAGTTCAAAGGAATAATCTACGCAAGGGAAAGCGAAGGACTTTCCTTAACCCCAATGGTGGTTTACTCACTGCATTGAATGAATTAGATAGCAACGTTTACCACAACTGTATTAATTGATTTATTTGAAGAAAAGCTCAACAAAACAAAAAGGAAAAAAATGGTCTCATAAAAGAAATTTATTGAAAGGGTACAAAAAGGTAAATGCACTTACATGGTAATCATCCAAATAATCATGGTGATCGTGCTGCCAAGAAAAAAAGAAAAAAAAAAACCCACATTAAACTTGAACTCATGCTCTATAACCATCTCACACTCTTCATACTAACTCGTGATTGCATCTGTTGTCACTATCTTTCTAAGCAACCTACAAATGCTTCTTCCAATTCAATGGGATATATACATGCAATTAGAACCCATTAAATCTCAACAACAATTACAATCTGTCAAGAAATTTTTGCAACTTACAATAAGCGCCACAGGCAACTTAGACTTGGCTTATTATGATTAAAACTCTACACTTCCCACAAACATCTTGCACAATGATCATGCATGGGGCCATTGCCATTATGTTGATTAAATAAATTCCCAAAGATTAAAAAAAAAAAAACAGTTTTAGAGAAAAATAAACAAAGATGAAAAGTAAAATACCCTTCTTCGGTGCCTCCTGTCTCCATATCGATGGTCCCTCTTTCTTCTCCTCTTTTCACCCTCATCCTTTGCTCTTTGAGCTTCCTGCACAAATAGCCATTCAAAGACTTCAATAAATATTCAGAAAGAGTACAGCTGATTCCAGATTCAAAGCCTCAAGAGAAATCAAATTATCAGGCTAACAACCTCCTCTTCCCGAGCTTTTCTTTCTTTCTCTGCTTCTTCAAAGGCCTCCTTTTCAGCCTGAAATTTCACATGCAAATTAATTATCTATGGCACTTTAATTAACAATAAGTATAAAGTCTGAA